CTAGATGAGTAGAGGAATCAAAAATTGATCAAATTTGAGGATTTTTCGATTATGTTTCAACATTTCCGCTACTGATGTTTGTCTGCTGCAATGTCTGTGCTGCTTTTTATGTTGGCAAGTTTATCTGTAACCGTGTATTATTGGTGAATATCTACTGCAAAAAATTAAGCTTTCAAGCTTTTGCGTGTGCTCGGATCTGTTTCTGTATCTGTATCTGTCTGTCTTTTTTCTTTTAAACTTCACTATGGATTACCATTACAGCTACATTACATATCTTCTTTTAAATTTAAATGATCTGTTTGGAAGAAATAGAATTTGCAATTATGACGCAGAAGATTACAACTGAAACCAAATTTACAGCTAAGTGGCTGCAGAAAGATCGCGCCTTTTACGAGGTTCTTTCATAACCGTCTGGTACCAGGTACTGACCTCGGAGGTTATGAGAAATTTATTGCAACTTTATCAGGATTTGAATCAGTATGGTCCCAGTATTACAGAATCACCGATGAGTGTCGTAATACTTTTTTACAGTATACTGTTTTACAGTACATCAGCTTTATTCAGTTGAGAGTTTGACAGCGACCGTTAGAGATATTTCACGTATGTAGTAAAAATCATCAATTACGACCAGTCAAACTGCTCGCTTCTCTTACTTCTTTGCTTCCTCAACGGTCGTTCTCTTCGTCTAAAACTTTTTTTTACGCATCTTCTCAGTCTGAATAGTCGCCCAAAAAAAAAAAATTTATTATAAAAAATACTAGGAGAAAAAAAAACAAATATTTTTATTTGCTTTCAAATAACAACCTTCTTTAATTATCTTCAAGCTTTTGTTGATTTAAATATTTTAAAAAGCGGAGAAACAGCAACCAAAAAAAAAGAAATCGCACTTTAAAAACCAGCGAAACTTGCAAAATTTTGGTGCAGCGCGGGCTACTACAACTCTTATCTAAGTGTCATTTCACTAAAAAAATAAATATTTGGAAAATTTAAATCGAAAATGACCTATTCGAACTAATACGGATATACTATAAAATTGTTGAAAAAGTATCAGAATTACAGCGTTAGAAATTTGAAATTTGCATTCAAAAGTTAAATTTTAACTTCTTGAAGAAAAAACACATGTTTTTGCTAGATAAGAACTGTTTCAAAAAGTACTCTTTACAAAAAAAAAACCCGAATAGAAATGCCATTTTAATTAATATCAAAAAAAAAAAAAAAAAAAAAAA